GTGTGTGTGTGTGTGTCACTATGAGTCAGCATTGACTCGATGGCAGTGAGTTTAGAGGACAAGTAAGGTATCTTTTCAAAGTCCAGGACAACAGGCCCCACAGTGATGCCTGTCTGCTTCTGGGCGCTGGGGCTACGCGTGTCTTTGTTGTCCTCGGCCCATGTCAGCAGGTGTCTGGCTTAGGCAACGATTAAGTGCATGGTAGCAGGGCCAACGGGATTTCCCCAAAGCTGGACTTTCTCAGTGCTTCCAAAGATTTTCCCGGGTCAAGGGTGGGGGCTAGGGTATGAGTGGGAAGGCAGAGGGGGTACAGGAAGGTCAGCTCTTTCCTCAGGAACAATCCCGAGTGAGGCCTTAGCCCGGCGGGCTGGGGTCCCCAAGGCTGATGGACAGGCTCTCGATGGCAGAGACACTTGGCTGCAGTGCCTGGCTGCCCCTCAGCCTTCACCCCGCAACCCCAGGCTGTTTACCTGGTGTCCAAGACTGCGCCCAGGGAAGGCCATGGCCACATGCCTGGCTCACTTCGACCCAGCAGGGGCAGGGGACCACGGTTGGCCTGGCAGAAGCTGTCAAAAGCTGCAGCCAGGGACCTGTGCAGGACCACCACGCTGGCTGGTTGGGGCCCTGGGTTTGGCAAGAGAAGAGGGCAAAGATACAGTCAGCTCCTTCTCGGCACACTTCTTACTTCCTGATGTATCGTGATAAACGCAGAAACGCGCAGACAAGCAGTGTGCAGCCAGACAAATCTTCGCCGAATGAACACACCCACCTACCCAGCACCCAGGTCAGGAAACAGACACACCCAGGTGGCTTGAGCTGTCCGTGGACGTGGGGTACTGGCATCACACACTGCGTGTCTGTGCAGCCGACCTGTCTGTGAGATTCGTCCATCGTAGGCACTCAACAGGAGCTGATCCCTGTTCATCGCGAGACTGTCACATGGGTACTTGCCCAATCGATGGCTAGTGGACATTTGAGCCGTCTTCACGGTGGGGCTGTAACAAAGGATGCTGCCCACACATTTGGGGGCATGCACATGTGCATTTCTTTGGGCACATACGTAGAGCTGCAGGGTATTGCCATGGACACAGCTCCAGAAGCTCCTGCCTCTCGCTTTCCAAAGGGGTTGTGCCAACTTACACACTCACCACTGGTGTCTGAACGTATTGGTGGTTTACGTAAGGAGCCCAGGTGGTGTGTTGGTTACGTGTTGGGCTGCTAACTGCAAGGTCAGCGGTTCCAAACCACCAGCTGCTGTGCTGTGACGGGGTTTTTTAGGGCTGTAAAAAGTGGCAGTCTTGGAGACTCACAGGGTCAGTCCCGGTCCCACCCTGCCCCACCCTGTGCTCTGAGTGGGAATCCGGTCGATGGCAGGGAGTTTAGTTTGGGTTTTGATAGGTGGCATTGTCTGTCTTTTTTTGCTTTTGCCATTCCCGTGGGGGAGGTAGCATCACCTTGTAGTTTGAACGGAAACTGCTTGGATCCACCGCCAATGCTCGATCAAACGGCGCACTGCATTGGGTAACTCTGCGGGCACGAGACCTCTGTGAAGTGCTGAGAAGCAAGGAGGTCACTTTGAAGACCAAGGTGCTCGTGACCCAAGCCAGGGTATTTGCAGTTTCTTCCTCTGCACTGCAAGGCGGGCACTGAAGAAGAGCCGATGCATTCCAACGAGAGCTGGCAGGGAAGACTGAACATACGATGGACCGCCCAAAGAACAAAAACACCTGTCTGGGAGGAGGCACAGCCAGGATGCGCCCGAGACGCGAAGATGGTGAGACTTGGTCTCAGGTATTTTGGAGAGACCAGCCCCTAGAGAGGGGCAACACGCTTGGTCGAGTGGGGGGCAGTGAAAGGGAGGAAGGCCGTTAGCAAGGCGGACGGACCCGTGGCCACAGCAATGGCATCAGGCCCGACAGCAGTTGTGAGGAGGCCCGGGCCGGACAGTGTTTCCTTCTGCTGGACGTCCGTCGGTCGCTCTGTCAGAACCGTCTGGAAGGCACCTCACAACCACGTCCCAATGAGCAGTGCCAGAGAATGCCTTTTCAGATGGTGTTAACCGCGTGGAGACTTTCTTTGGGGGAATGACAAAAGGTCGGCCGTTCACACCCACCAGCCACTTCATGCAGGTGAGACAGGTCAACTGGTCTGTAAAGATTGCCCATGGCCATTGAGTCAATGCCGGCTCATAGCAACCCTGTAGGAGAAGGGAGAGCCGCTCATGGGGTTTCCACGCCTGTCATCTCTATACGACCAGA